ATTTCAGGACATCACGGCAAGCCTGCGCGGCACCCGTGTGTTCTCAAAAATCGATCTGGTTCGCGCGTATCACCAGATTCCAGTCGCTGAGGAAGACATACCGAAGACTGCCGTAATCACGCCTTTTGGGCTGCGTTGCGAAGACCGAACGGCATACGCAAAAATTCGAACAGCCCAAAAGGCGTGATTACGGCAGTCTTCGGTATGTCTTCCTCAGCGACTGGAATCTGGTGATACGCGCGAACCAGATCGATTTTTGAGAACACACGGGTGCCGCGCAGGCTTGCCGTGAAGTCCTGAATGTGAGGGATCGGATATCGGTCGGGAACAGTAACGTTATTGAGCGCGCGGTAATCACCACATGGACGCCAGTCTCCTGGCTTTTTGGGCACCATGTGGAGCGGCGACGCCCAGGGACTGTTAGACGGGCGAACGATGCCTAGTTCAAGCATGTGCTCGAATTCTGCGCGAGCAATTTTCAACTTGTCAGGGGTCATTCGCCTGGCTTTGGCAAAAACAGGCGGACCTTTCGTGACGATATAATGTTTCGCGGCCTCAGTGGCGGATGAAAACGGTGTCATTGCACGAAAGACTTGCGGGAACTTCGTATTAAGCATCTGACCGATAGGCGAGCTTGACAGGTTGGCGTATACAGGACTGATTGACTCTATGTCGGTCAAAGTACCTATAACTGCCAGGTTTGTTTGACGGTCGATCAGATGGCGTTGCTTCGCGTCAACAAGTAAATTAATGTGCTGCAGAAAGTCAAGGCCAATAATTGGCATCTGGACATCTGCGACGAGGAAGATTGGCTTCCCTACTCTCCGATATGCTGCAAGCTCCGACCGAATCCGCCGCACCGTATTCATCTGCGCGCAACCTCAGCGGTTCCGAGTTACTGAATCACGCGCATGCATCGAGTGGCCACTCCACACTGTGTCCAGCCACGCACATCCCACTGTGTCCGGTGTCTATTCCCTCGCAGTATCACGGCTTTTCCCTATCCATTCCCGCCCGGCTCGATCTCGGCGCATCAAACCAACATGTTGGGCCTGTCGCTGGCTCCCAGCCCTTGTTAATCCCGCCGTCCGATTCGACCTCTGTCTCGTCCACACCCGGTTCCACTCCCTTAGACAGCATGTTGGTGAATTCGCAACACTCAGACACCCCGTCCAGATTTCCACAGGACACTTTCTCCCTTCCTGCTGCTCTGCTCGGAGATGATGAAATACCTCACTCCCCTTGTACCGTGCTGGCTGATCGTGTGGAAATCGAACTTCCCAATCCTGCCTCTCTAGACACGTTCGACAATTCCTTGTGCCACTCCCTTCCTCTTCCCGCACACTATTCCGCCCGGCGCCGTCGCGAAATCCCACGTCCTGGTGTTCTGAAGGGTTATGATGAGAAGCACAAGCGCTTGGACAATTCTCTTCTAATTGTCTCGTTTTCCATGCGTCAGTTACTCGGTGACACGTGTTTTCGACCCCCAGCAGAGAACCTGAGCAATTGTCTGCTTCATCCTCCTGATTCTGACGAACCGGACACTTCGAATTTTACGGACCACAATGTCCCTATGATCAAGCCCCCTCTTCCAATGGTCGATTCCACTACATGTAGTTCTCTTCTGCTGCCGCGAATGGCTACGCATCCACGTTCGCCGTCGATTGATCGGATCATTGAGTCAATTCACTCGGCATCGACCGATGCATACGCTCATCCATCCTCTCGGCCGAGTTCGGCTGTGTCCTTGGGTTTGAACGCCTGCTCACCCACACCCGCCGTCAATACTCTTGGCAATTCAACATTTCTACATCCGGATACCGACCGAATACAGTCGCTATTAAAACCGAAGCAAAGCGGTGTTTTAACTCCGAACCAGTTGGTCAATCGTCGGGTCCACGAACAGTCTTTTCACCTGAGAGAGCGACCTCACAGATGTAAAAACTGTGAGAAAACCTTTTCTCAGTTGGTCACGTCGGGGTCACCAATTATAGCGCGTAGATCGTGCGCTATATATCCGGTACGCGACTAGACGGCCAACCAAAAATAATGGATAGAAGACACAACAGTAAGCTAGGGAAAAGTTTATTGGACGGGAGGAGCGTTAGCTAATGCTAAAAATAGGGCACCCGGAGAGAGCTAGCTAGGGAGAATGTCGATGGCGTCGAGTGCGTTGACAGAGCGTCGTTCGCAATCGAGTCGCGCGCGCCAAAGGCGGAGATCGCGTTCGCGTTTTCAACAAACGGGAACAACGTTCCAACAGGCAAACTGTCTAATTCCCTAATACATAAGAAAGCTATAATTTGAATGTATTTTAGAATAGTTTACACAGTCATACGGGGGAATCTCCAGGTTGCTACAAGGGCCAGTAGCTTTGGAAGGATTTAGCCCTTGCAATATTCCCAAGACTTGTGTCTCCGTTATGCTGATTTCAGTTAGGCGAGAATCCTCCGGAAATTTTGTGACCAGCTCAACCTGAGGTAGAGAGGCTTCATGAGAAAAGACACCAGCATACTGTTCGCTAAGTATACAGGCATTATCATAGTCGGTATGCCCATGGGTCCCGTCCGCTCGTAGTAAAGCCGGTATAGACGAGCTTGTACCGCTACGTCTCTTTCTTTGGATTTGTTACGGCTGCGTTAGCCAAATCCTCCTTGTACTGAAGACGAAGAGTTCTAATATGATGCTTACATTTATTTCTGACCGCTTGATAGCTTTCGTAGGTGCTGGTTGATGAAGCCGCTTGGTAAGTTCGCCAGCACTTAGAGCACTTCCTGAGCAGGTATTTACCTGTATGATCTATCCATGGAGGCTGCGCCCGTGTCACCCTTCTCTTAGTGAGTGGGATGTGGGAAGCAGAGATCGCGGTGAGGTATGCTTTAAATTTCTTCCAGGCTGTCTCAACAGTGTCAGCCACGGTGATCGCACAACGCAAAACTGAAGCTTTGTCTCGCATTGCGTTAAAGTCTGCCCGCCAAATATTTGGACATGCCTCAGCGGTAGCTTGATAACAGTTAGAGCACATCGAAAGGATATGCAGACATGGTCACTGGCTCCTAGAGGACAGTCGTAGGTAATATCACTTACGAAATCGTGTGACTTCGCGAAAATGAGATCCAAGGTAGACGGAATTTGGTTGCGCATATATCTAGTCGGGAGATCCACGAACTGATGCAAAGGCAGTTGCAATGTTAGCTCAAGGAGATTCGAACCGAAAGTGCGCACCGCCGAACTGCAAGATAAATCAGCCCAGCAGACTTCAGGGAGGTTGAAGTCACCCAGTATTAGACACCTATTGGCAGCCTGAGTACGAATAAATTCAATAACCTCCCTGGAGATACTTCCAGAACTTCGATATACCACTACAACTGTAAACTGTGCAGAGGAAGTGCACACAATAGTCGACAGGGCTTCAACAGTTTGATCCGGCGACTGGAACACACAGGTCCTCAATACATCGAGTTTACCATTGCAATGAGGCTGGACCTTACCGTGGTGCGATGGTTTGTGTGCCTCAGCGATCCATTGAGCTACGCTGGGTGGTGCTTTTTGCACCTTCAGAGCCATTCATACCAGATTGATCAATGGTTAGAGGCCAGACAAACTCCGTCTCCAGGTTGAGGGTTGGAATGAGGGTGACTCCTTATACCTTAAAATGGACTCCTTGTAGCCCAACGCCAAACCCGCTGCCTTGCGGTCAGGTTTTTGAACCAAAGGCTTTGGTTGAGAACCCTAATCGTTCTCCTGTCTAGGCCTGGGCAACCTGACAGTATCCTGCCCACGCAATACTATGAATTTTCCTTCAAACAATTTCTTGATGCTCTGGCCACCGCAGAGGATAATCAACGGTGCCCTATCTGCTGCATCGAGCAGAGTGGATAGGGGTTTTGGATGCTACTGCTCAAGCCTTCCCGTCTTCTTATTCCCCCTCTTACGCTTTTTCACTCTTACCGTCCCATTCCAACTTCACTTATATCCCCCCAGTTTTCAACCCCCCGATTCTTGGCCCTCCCCCAACATGCTTTGCTAGGCATTTACCTTCTAATTTCAACTCACACGTGAACGCGGAGCGTCACTCCTCTCCTGTCGACAAGCCCATGTCCAACCAAGCGGTCCAATCCAGTTCATCGGCTTCCATTTGGAGCCCTCGATCCTCCTTCAGATTGGCATGCCTCAATGTACGCACACTGCTACAAATCGGTCAACAGGCAGCACTTGCCCGAACATTAGAGACCCTCTCGATCGATATCTGCTGCTTATCAGAGACTCGCCTGCAAGACTCGAGCACTGTGCTCACTCTGCGATCCCCTTCAGGGGACGCAAGCAGCATTTTCTCCTTGCGCCTATCCGGAGACGATGCAGCTTCGAGCACCGGCCAAGCCGGTGTTGGTATTGCCCTGAGTCCCCGGGCTGAAGCTGCTCTGGTTGATTGGATTCCAATCAGTAGCCGGATGTGTGCGGTCCGATTGGCTGGCTCGTTTAAAGCTTCGAAGTCGCGCGGGACTAATAGATGTCTATTCATCATCGCTGCCTATGCGCCCACAAACTGTAGCGATGATTCGGTAAAGAACGACTTCTACCGCCAACTGACCCAGCTCCTTCGCCACAGAAGAAGCACGGACACTGATGAACTGCATCTGGGCGGTCAACACGGTGTAGGCTCCCGTAATGATAACGGTGAGCGGTTACTTCATTTGTGTGAAGATGCTCGCTATTTCTTGCGAGCACTAATTTCCGACACAGCACCCGCCGAAGGGTGACTTGGCGCCCACCAACCTCGAACCAGCCTTGCACGCAGATCGATCACATTGCGATAAGTTACCGCTGGAGAGGCTGCATCCAGAATTGTCGCTCGATTTGGAGCACATGTGTGGACACCGATCATGCACTTGTATGTGCTGACATGCGGATGCGTTTTGGCGGGCGCCCACGACGACGCTGTGAGCGTATTGACACCAGCCAACTGACAAAACCAGCTGTTCTGAATGCGTATCGAAGTACGCTAACATGCGAGTTGAGCAAGCGCTCACAGGAGACAATTGATGGTCACTGGTCACATGTTCGCCAGACCTTACTAGCAGCAGGCAAATCCTCATGTGGTATGTCTAATAGACAACATGGACATTGGGTCTCTTCGCAGTCTTTGGAACTTATAGATGCTCGCCGGCAAATCCCGGCTGGAAGCGAGCACAATGAAACTCGCAAAGAGCTCCGGGCAAAACTCCGTGCTAGCCTGAAGAGAGACCGCGAATCTTGGTGGTCTCATCGTGCGTCAGAGATGGAAGTGGCTGCTGCCCTTGGCAACCATCGTAAGTTATTCCGTCTGATACGGGAAACGGGCAGCAGGAGACCTGGTGTTAGTGAAACTATACGTGACGAGAGTGGACAGCCTATCCACAATTTGTCAAAACGTCTGGAGCGTTGGGCTGAGCATTTTGAAAAGCAATTTAATCGGCAAGAATTGTTCGATTCGCCGGTCACTGATCGCCCCGCTCCTTGGGCTGTCCCTTTGGATCCACCCTCTCGCTCAGAAATCGAACGTGAGATCGGACTGTTGAAGTTGAACAAAGCCGCGGGACCAGATGATCTTCCTCCAGCCCTCTTCAAATTTGGAGGCTCTGCTCTTGTTGATGCTTTGCATGAATTACTAGTGAAACTGTGGGAGCAGGAAACTGTCCCAACCGACTGGAGCCGCTCCGTTATTGTTCCCATCTTCAAAGGCGGCTCACGCTCGGAATGCGGCAACCATAGAGGAATCAGTCTGATCTCCATCGCCTCCAAATTACTCGCGTCCATAATTCTCCACAGACTGACTGGCGCTCGTGAAAGCCAGATTCGTGAGGAGCAAGCCGGGTTTCGTCGGGGTCGTGGCTGCATCGACCACATCTTCACCTTGCGTCAGTTGTTGCAGCACCGTCACACATATTGGCGGCCCACCGTAGTCGTGTTCCTCGACATCAAAGGTGCCTTCGATTCGGTTGATCGATGTGCCCTTTGGAATTGTCTACTCAGGAAAGGTGTGCCCGAGAAATATGTAAATATTATCCAAGCATTATATGCGCGTAGCACGGGCAGATTAAGGGCTTACAGCAGGCTGTCGCCACCCTTCAATATCTCCAGCGGTGTGAGACAAGGATGCCCGCTGTCACCTTTCCTATTCAACTTCGCTATTGACGAAGTCATGGAGATTGCATTTACAGGACATGACTTGGAAGGTGTGGAGCTACTCCCAGGAGAACGACTTCTTGACTTAGAGTATGCAGACGACATTGCCCTCATCTGTGACAGCTCCCAGACGTGTCAATCCGCGCTGGACAGATTAGCACTGGCTGTCAGTCGCTTCGGGCTTTGCTTTGCACCACCGAAGTGCAAAGCGTTCCTCCAGGATTGGCAGGGTTCGCCCCCTGTGCTGACTCTTGGTGGGGATCAGCTAGAAGTCGTTCAGAAATTCAATTACCTGGGAAGTTGTATCAGCGCCCTTGGGATCGAAGACGAGATCACGAACCGCATAGCGAAAGCTCGAAGTGCTTTTGCTAACCTTCGCCACCTATGGCGACGGCGCGACATTACTCTCGCTCTGAAGGGTAGAGTGTACAATGCAGCGGTACGTTCGACCTTACTGTACGGTTGCGAAACCTGGCCCCTAAGATCGGCAGACATGAAGAGGCTACTTACGTTCGACCATCGGTGCCTTCGCAGTTTGGCTCACATCTGGTGGGAACACCGCGTGAGTAACGAGCGTGTTCGACGCCTTGTTTACGGCCTAGGAAAAGGGAATGAACCGCTCAGCACCGTCATTTCACTCACCAGGCTCCGATGGCTGGGCCACGTGTTGCGCATGCCAGCCCACCGACTCCCTCGACGTGCGTTGTTTGCTC